TGATGAAATGAAGGAAATGGGTTTGTAGCGTCAATAGTGCTACTTAACATACTGCCAAACATTACAGAACACCTAACTGGTATGCTAATAAAGATGTGGGTACAACAACCCCTGCTTATATAGACCTTACCCAGGTTATTGAACAATTGTAATAAATAATCAATACAAAATGGATGATTTTTCAATATCAAATTTGCCACTTACATGCTAAATTCAAATGAAGATTGGCCTCAATTATTCTCTATTGGTGGGAATATCAAGTAAAACAAAGAACTTGAAACATAATTCTATTTTTAACAACAAGTATGATTATTGATAAATGTGATAGATATTCACACCAATATTTTGCAACAAAATATGATCAAAGCTTTTATTTCAAGCCATATGTGTCACTGATTGATTGGGAGTATACTGCTTTTGTAAGAGTGCTGACATCATCACTAACAAAAACACACAATGACAAAATTTAAAGGACTATAGGACCTATTCCTTCAGAAATACAAAGTATACACATCAAATCAAACAAAAAAATCTCAAAAATATAAATTCATGAATTATTATGTTGTACTTGATGATCTATATTGAGCTACTACACGTTTTGGTAAAAGTATACCAGTGGACAAAGTCACTGGCAGACATCTTAGGCAGGATGATACTGCACATTTTGAAATCAAATTAACTGTAAGCTCACTACTTTACCTAGAAAATTCGGTTATATTTAATCGTTATATGAAGACCACCATTCGCAAGACAATATTTACATAAAAATATTCTGTTTATTACTGAGACGAGTTCTAAAACAATGCGTAGTTTTTATAAGTTATTGTTTTCGATCAGCTGATTACTCGTAGTTGGAAATCGTGCCAATAAACACTATTTACAAATAAAGTTTACGACTATTCATTTACATTCGAGATACTCTCGTCGCGACGATGTGTAATGTGGGAAACTTTTCAAAAAAAACTTTACAATCGGAGAATTTGGCAGTGAGATATACAACGGAGAAAAACATTTCACAATATTACAACGGTACGATGACAAAGTGAAATTGAACACAGAGAGAACCAACAACATGGGAAAGAAAGTTCAATTTGAGCTAAATGTTAGAGGCTATAGGTATTATAAATTAAAGTAAGTATTTATGAATTAATCGAGATACTTACTGTCCACCGTCAGCCATATTTTCAAATATTTTTTCACTTTATCTGAAGTTTTTTGTCAGCACACTAACAATACGATCGCTTGCTCAGTTCAAAATGGCTTCCAGTTACACGTGTGGTGACGTATTTGGAAGAGCCGAATATTATTCAGTTACGAATGTGTAGCAACACATTCTATAGGTACAATCACTGTAGGGTCACAAATGCAACAGAAATAATAATTTTTTTATAAATAAAATAAGTAAAAATATCCTAACATGTGTGTGTGTGTGCTTTATAAATATGTACAATGCTAATTTAAGCGTAGATTACCAAAAGTTGTATTGACACTTATGAACTGTTGAATTAAAAATTGTTTCAGCCTTGTAAGGTTCCTTGTTCCGATTGCTTTCCGAAGTTTTCCGAAGTAATGAAAACAAGTTAATATGAACTAAATATCCCAAACATTGGATATTATACTATTCGCGCACTCCCACTTTTGCTTTTCAACCATTACATTGCTTTTTGGGTTATGTTGGTGTCACAGAAATAAAAAAGTTGTTTTGGTAACTGGCAAACTGGATATTATTTTCGCGGAATGTTCACTTCCGGGTTATGACGTCACTTTAGGCCAAGATGGCGGGGATCAAAAGTAAGTGTTTTGTATTGTTTTCCGGTGATTCATTCCTATTTTCCACTAAAACTGATCAAATTTCTTTAAAATTGAGACCGATAACAAGTCGTTTATTCAGATATAGTTATTTTTGCGTGAGC